TACACATTTAGGCTCGATATATAACACACACAAAATGTTTTATTGTCTTAAATATCCTTAACCGACTTACACCATTTCAAAATGTTAAAGAATTATACATTTCCAATTCAATATCATTCAAGATATTAAAGCTTAATTAAAAATGTAAGAAGCACAAAATTCATCTTGAATTTGATAGAAATAAACACTAAATAGAGATTTATCTCGTCACTCTTGACTACTATCGTAGTCAAGTTACAGTTACAGTTTACAGTGAAGTGATATCGTATCACTTCACTGATATGGTTTTTATTCACGGCTTTATTTCACGGATATCGAGCTTAAATGTGTAATAAATATGTTTACTGCATGTACTTACAGCGTTGCAGATGGGTCGGACAGAAGCACTCCCTAACCTCACTTCGCACAGTTCAGAGAGACTCTGTTGAATAAGAGGTCAGAAAATAAATCAAATAACATAGAATTGCCTTTAGATATCATTAGAAATCATTTATCATTAATTATAATAGTAATAATAATAACTTTAATTAATGCAATAACACACTTATTTCATTTGCATATGCTCAAATGCTCACTAGTTAGTATATTTACCATTAATATAGATTTATAAGTGTCATCTGCCAGAGAGGTTTTCCTCATTTCTTGCATCATTCCAATAAGTACTGGATGAAATACCTGTAACAATAGTCAATATAAATTACATAACTATCCATAGTGGCCTAGCTAGTTTAGCTTTTTAGTTATTCTAGGCCACACTGTACCTTTGCTTGTTTATTCTTTCAATTAATACTTTGTATTCCTGTATATCTATATATTTATATTTTTTGTGTACATATGTAAATGTCTTCTATCTTTTGTACTTTACATTTCGCTTGTAAATATCAAATCTAATACCACTACTGTAATCCGTTTCAAATATATGTTTATACACTTATGTAAATATTTAGGTGCTAAATAAACTATATATGTGTATGTGTAGTTAAAACTACCATTCTCGTATGAGTGGCCCATAGTTCTAATAGGGGGACTTATCAATCTACAAAGATCGAGAACGGAGTTCAACTCCCACACAATGTAAGCATGATTTCAAAATGGTTTTAATGTGTCCAACGTCATTTATGGCATTACTATCTAGAACATCTGTTAGTGCTTTTCATATGTTACAAAGAGGACAGGGATGGGGTTTGACTATAGCTCTTTGCTCATATTAAGTAAACTTTCAAGTCTCAGTTCCCCGATTTTAGTGTTTTGCAAGCAACTCTGCCATATTCTACTAAGTCTAAGACCCCCACTTTTAAGCTACTCCCTTGGAATATAAAAAATAAATACAAAAAATGCTTCCATAATTTCTTGATATACACTACAATGGTCACTACAGTTTGTCATACCGCTGTTGCAGTTTCTTGATCCTTAGCAGCACATGTGACTAGATCATTAATAAAACCTCTTGGTAACTGTTGCTTGTTGTGTACGAGATAGTGTACCATTGGTGAATGATTGGATGGCTGATTATTGAAGCTGTGATCAATAGGATGAAAAACATCAATTCGTTTAGTTTTTTACTTAATATTACTTTAAAGTTAGTACAAAGGTTTTACCAGGAATAGATCGTTTTCACGTGTCGTCATCAATTTCCGGTCGCCATATTGGTGTACCTCGATAGCGTGACTATGCAAAAACATGTGTGTAACAATCATGCCATGACTAGCGAAGTGCTCTGAATAATATGGAATATGTTGCCGGTGAAAAGGAAAAAAAAGAGTTTAGCGAAAATTTATCTTCAATACCTCTATCTGAGTATGCCAAGAAGCTGGAAACTCGAGTGAAACGACGTTATCTTGATAAAATTTCGTCGATTGGAATCGACCCCGTGTTAGTTGACAGCAACCTTTTTGAGCCGGACTGTTTACCTCCAGTAGAATCTACAGATCTGCTATTTTATCTCGTCCTAGAAACAAGTTTCTACACAAACCAACAGTTTAAAGCTTTTCGTAG